CGTAGATGCCCCACGGGAGGGCGAGGATGAATCCGGTGCGAGACCCGCGGCGGCACGCAGCAACGATGTGAGGCGACGTGGATTTCGAGGAGAGAAACCTTGGGAGAGTCGACGCGGCCGAGCGCTGCTTCCACCGAGCGGAATGGGACATCATGAAAGACGAACGCGGGCTGGCGGGTCCAGAGGCCGCGCCACCGGAGGGCGAGGATGCCGGTGCGCGCGGCCGCGGAGGCACAGCGGAGGCCGGCGAGGACGAGGAGTAGACGAGCAGTAGTTCGTCGGGGAGGGCACTGATGCGGTCCTCTCTCTCCTGCTGCTCGGAGGAACGCGGATGACGCTGTGATCCCAACTCCATCGGAGCCTTAATGCAGAAATCGTCGCCTGTCTCTGCTGCTCTCCGAGGCGCTGGGACGCTAGGGTTTAAGGCCTTAACGCTGGTTGTTGAACGTCATGAGTCGCTGAGTTTGGCCGTACTTCAGATTCACACTTTGTTTATTTGTTTTTTTAGTTGGAGCCAAGTATAGTTTATTAATGCAATCTTCTCTAATAACCAATAAATACAAATATGCTACGTTCATTAGCAGAGAGTCGCACCCATCCTACATGAAACTCATAATGAGATTTTGAGGTAATTACACTACTAGTGCTTGAACTTGCTATAAGTGTGCACTTTAGTGCCTGAACTTGTAAAATACATCGAACTGGTTCTACAACTTGGCATGAACATGCAAATACGGTTCAAATCTCATCTTTATACATCTACGATGTTGATGAGGTATGTCAGCGTGGCATGTGGCCCGCTGTCAGCGATCGGTAGATGGGCGTGTGGTCTGGTCTTGCAAATAAAACCCTGAAATTATTTTCTTATTAAAAAGCCCCTTGAAATTAAAAAAAAAACTTGGAGATAAACAACAGTACAACACAAACTATAAAAAGAACTAGACGATGAGGGTTCGAACCTGCGACCAATATTTTGAATGTAGGTGTGGCTAGCCAGTAGACCCAATCACTTTACCGTCACGTTATGTTCACATTCTTTATATATCCACGGCTGACCAATATAAACCAAGAAATTTATTCTAGCAAAAATAGTGTGAGATCAATTATTCAAACCTGCACCGCAAGGCCATATAGCGGCCACACATACCACTCAAACACACGAGATGTAATACCACAAAGGATAAATTTACCTTTATAACATAATGCACTTGTGTTGGTAAAATGGACCTCGTTTCAGCCCATTTTCAATGTGTTCGTTTATTCATTTTAAAATTTGTAAAAAACTACGTAAATGATAATCGTGTTTTATAAATAATAATCTATAATTAACATAAAATATATTTACAAAGTTAATTTAATTTCATAAAATATCTAGGCAATAATTTTACAGAATAAACATTGTTAAATTACAAAATTCTGAAAATAATTGTATATTTTCAAAACATGCTCGATTTTAAATAAAAATTAAAGTAATGTTTTAAACTTTTGTATATTTAACTAAATTCTCATATAAGTTAAAAAAATTCCACGTTTTTTATAAAATATTCATGTAGTACATGAAAGTTTCATGCTTTAAGAATTATTTTGGGTTGTTTTAAAAAATTATATAATACATAAAAGTTTGTGTGTTTTGAAATAAATTCTTAGATTGCAGATCCTCACATGAATAATATTTAAATCAAATAACATTTTTATTATTCTATAAATATTTAGTTTTTTATGAATATGTTATAAAATAACACATGAATTCTTTTTAAAAATCACATGTAAATTTTTAAATCCTCTTAAATTATATTTGTTTTACAGTCATATATACTAATTATACTATAGAAACATGAGATCTTTTTGGTTGGAGTGGTATCCGAGGATGCTATGTAACCTCGGATGTTTGAATCACAGACGCGACACTATTTTTTGCTGGAATAAATTCTGTTAATTTATGTTGTTCCGCCTAGTGTATATAAATCATATGAATCCATTCACCACAGTAAGTTTGAAGCGGTGGACTGGCTGGCCACGCCTGCATGCTAAAAGCAGGCCACGGGTTTAAAATTTAAATCCCCGGCAGAACAGTTTTATTTTCATTTTACAAATGTGTAATGTTTCTACTTGAGGACCTATTTGTAATAAAAAATGTTAGGGGGCTTTCCAAGAAAAATGACATGTTGGAAAGCTTCATCAGCACCGTGGGCGTATACATGTGAGATTTGAACCGTATTTGCACCTCCTTGTCAAGTTATAGAACCAGTTTAATATATTTTTCAAGTTTAGGCACTAAAGTGAATATCCATGGCAAGTTTAAGCATCACCCGTGTATTTACCTCTGAGATTTTTAGTAGGGTCTTGATTTCATGCACTGGATGGCCGTACGCCGAAAGATCCCTCACTTGATTATTGATTTTCATTCCAGGACTAGCTTCCTTGCGTCGACTTCGACAACCAGATGCACCACCCGCTGTATCGCCCGCCAACACGGCATTAGCTCCACAAGTTCGGGGTCCGCTATAAGAGGGGAAAAAGGCAAGCTCCTGCAACAAAAGCTCCATGAGGCCTTGTACAATGCTAGATGCTTAGGGAGGTGCTTAAAAAAAATAAACAAGATTTTTTAAAGCACCGGAGACTATTTCTACAAAAGAGACGCCTAATTAAGCGTCTATCATGTACAAATAAGTATCAGTGCTTAAAGAAATTCTGGTTTATTTCTCTAAGCACCTTCCTTAAGCACCTTGCATCTGATGGTCTTGAAGACCCCACTTTGTTTATTTGGTTATAGTCCGTTCTTCATCGCACATATGCACCAATTTCCCCAACAAGGGAAAAGAATAGTTCCGTGGATACAAATTGGGTTTTGCATCGTGTGTATAAAAGTGACAGATGTTGTGCTTAAGTTTTGTTTTGTACTGGTGAGTAGATTGAAAGTTTCTCCCACAAAAAGAAAAGAGAGACTAAGATACACAATAGGAAAGGCTCCAGCTTCTCTCCTCTTCCAACCCTAGAGAGCATATTTTTTGGATGCACCGTGCGGCCGCTCATCCTCCCCTCGCCCCACTCTTACACTTAGCTTTGTTGGTGTGGGAGTGCGGGGAGGCTCGTTCTAATTTTTCTTCTTCTTGTTTAAAGGCTTTTATTTATTTATTTTTTAATTAAAGAAGGGCTTGCCCCTTCCGATTTTCATTACTGAAAACCACAGAGTTCTACATAAGAGTTCAAAAGGAAACGAAAAGATCCAACCGGATTCAACATGATCAAATAGCAACCCCAACGACCAACAAGGGTCAGCCACACCACATATCCCCGAGTTCACAACTGCCAAACCGGGGTCAAGCTACCTTGAGAGCCATTACATCAACGCAGAAGCAAAAGTAGCAAAAAAAAAAGGAGCCAAGGATCTATTCTACAGGAGCACCAAACATCAGGTTCACCACCGCAGGAGAGACTTTCTTCATTCCAATCTAGCAACATTGATCCTCCACCCCTGCTTGGCTGTGAACACTTCATTTGCTGCCTGCTCTAGCACCCTTGCTCCCAGCTCCAACGTTTTTCTTGACGACTCCTTTATCTGCATAATAGACCAGTCAATTAACCACCTGCACATTAGCTTGACAACATATAAAGGATCATTTATCCTTTTATTCTCAAAAATAATTGCATTTTTGCTTTTCCAAATTGACCAAAGAGGGCTGAAATCCCCACCAGCACCAGTTTCTTATCATCTTTGTTAAATTTCCTAATCCAGTCTCCAAAACAATCTTTCACACTAGATGGCACAGTTTTAAAACCACACACACATCTGACCAAACTCCATAACAATGAAGCAACCGAGCAAGAGAAGAATAAATGATCAATTGAGCTACGGGATGGCACCTCTTTGGTGGTGGCGGTGGTGCTTGTCCACGGAATAAAATTTCATCCAAGTATGAGAGTGATGTGAGACCTCGATGTGTTTTATTTACTTTTCAAAATGTCTGCACACGCATGTACGAGAGCGATGTGAGACCTCGATGTGTTTTATTTACTTTCCAAAGTGTCTGCACACGCATGCACGCACGCAGACAACATCTGTTCTCTTTAAGATTTACACTCCGTCACATACCACATTCTTCGAAGATCATTCAGGACAACATCTGCTCCATGACACAAGCTTAAAAATATCAACAGGATTGGTTCATTTTTATGGGAATGCCTCAGCGGCGCAGTTTATTAAATATCAAAGCGAGTTGTATCGTTCGACAATGAAGCGAAAACAAAGCTAGAAGGTGGCCATCTCAAAACTAGATTTAGGGCCCGTTTGGGAACACTCCGGCTCCCAGCTCCGCGGAGCTGAAATGGTGGAGCAGAGCAGCACGCAGTTCATTTTTGCGGAGCTGCCATTCTGTCGCTCCGCATTCCTGCACTGAGCAGAGCGGGGTAGCTGGAGCGGTCCGTTCCCGAACAAGCACTTAGTATCAGCTCCAAAGAATCGGGTTCTACCACAACCGGAGCGTGGCCCAAGTTCTCCCCGAGATCGAGGCCTCTCTGCAGTCGCTGCATGAAGAAAGCAAAACTGAACAAGATCCAAATGCGCCTGTCAGGCCATTCAAAAGCTTTAAGCAACCATTTCTCTTGTTAACAGTAACAGAGTAACAGCAGTTTTCCGCTAAATATATATCTCTAACCTAGTCCCCCAAAAAACTTGTTAAATACTAGCCAGTTCATCGTATCTAAATTATGGCGTTGATACCAATCCTGAGAACTGTAACAGAGATAGATTATTCAATCTGCATAACAGTGCATCGACGGCAAACCCGGTCCAGTTTTGGGCCAGACCCACAGGAAGAACATGAAGGATTCATTCAGTGAAGGCCACGATAACAGCAGGTACATTGCCAGAAAATGTTTTCAGCATTGTATACTTGAAGTCTTCAAGAGAAAGAATCTTTACGTCATCGTAGGAATAAATGTGCAAGTGCAATCAGGATTTACACGAATGCCTCTTAAGCTGTTGCTGATGTGCTTACGCTCTAAAGGATGACAACGTTCATGAACTTCCTCTTCGCAAAAGCCAGCCACCATTTGTTGGGAGTGCCATTAGCTCTGTATGCGCAGTTGAGCAGCCTCCCGCTCGTTTCCTCCCTTATCTGCTTCAGATAGTTCCTCAACAGTTCTGCATTAGAGAAGTTAAGGGGAGTTAGAATATTCTGCTGTTAGATTTGATCGGTTTCTACCAATTTATAGCTGAACTAGCCTAAGGCTTAAGTAAAATGCTACTGTTTGATTCTCTCTGAAGAAGTAAATTACGTGAAATACCAAGCAAACAACTTATTACTTCTGCAGACAAGAGTTAGCTTAGTTACTTTCACTAAAAGCATATGCACGTGCAAATATGCAATTGAAGTTGATGGAGCTATATATACCTGCTTCCTCCCCAGATTGGGGGAGAGTGAAAAGTCCAGGGAAAGGAAACCCTGGTTCCCCAGGCACAGGAACTTTTTCCAACCCCAGGTTAATGATTGCCTTAGTTCCGACAGCCAGCGTCCGGCAGGTTTCTAGTCTTTTCAAGGCAATATTGATGTAAGATGTCAGATAGATGAGCAATTTGTCTGCTGGGCTTTTGACATGGAAGTTTTTGAAGAAAACATTTGCACGGAAGAAAGTTATCGCTTCATCAACTATATCCGCCTTATCTGTAATAGCATCAACATTTTAATAAGCAGTTCAGCGTGGTCATGCAGGATCGAAATGTGTCTGATGTTGTGACAGTACCTGAATCTGAGGCTGGGGCTGGGCCCTTTATATGGGTTTTGAGTGGAAGCAAAGGACACCCACAGGCTTTTGTGATCCCGTCATCATCAATGAAACTAGAGTGATAAACCTGTCCATGATGGAGAAATGCATATGGTGCTCAGATATCGCATAGATAACGTTAACCGTGACCAAACTAGAACTAACAAAACTAGCATGGGATACTAAAGCAAGCGATTAGCACATTTGATGGTAATTTGCTTCCATTGGTATTACCTTCGTCAAACGCATAAACCCATGAAAAGTGTTTCTAACGGAGTAACTCTAATTGAAGTACTTTGACCCACAACATTGAGGTCACCTTATTACCTTTCTCCTGTTTAAACTACCTTGACTGGTATTAGCAAAAGGCATCATACAACTATATGGCTTTAAGTTTAACTTGCAAATGGAAGTGTCATATAGCTTCATCAGAGGATGGACGAACAAAAACAATATGTACTCCCTCCATTCCAAAATAAGTGTTGTGGTTTTAGTTCAAATTTGATCTAAACCACGACACTTATTTTGGGACAGAGGCAGTATCATGGATCGCACAAACTGTGATGATATCAAACTAGAATTGTCTGGGCTCTACTTTAACATCAGCTAACAGGACCTTCCCAAACTAGCTCTGGTAAGTAACCAGGAAAAATAAACAGAAATTTTGTAATGAGGTATATTGAGGTGCATTGCATACGTTAGTGTACCAGTGCCGGCTTCGGTAATGAAAAACAGAGCACGTCCAAAATGGCACCAATCTTTATGTGCCAACTTAACTCTCAAAACAGAACTTCGCTTTCAATTTGGCCTAATCAGACCCGTTGGCTGCCCAAATTCGGTGACAATAGCGTCCAAGGAATGACAAGGTCTGGACGAAGGAGATGGCTAGTAACTCACCATGGCTATGAAGGACCGCCAGGTACGGTGCACCGCGGACAAACAAGGATCACCGCCTGCGTAGATCTCCTGAGTACCGTCTACCTGGTACCGAGGAAGGATGGGACTGAGGCCGGTTGCCGAAGAAGGAAGTTCGCCCTAGTGCTGCCGTGGAACCTAAACAAAACAGATAATAAGGCAACTGGATACTGGACTTGCTTTTCAACGGACTGCATACGAAAGCAGGATTTTCAAGAAAGCACTTACAGAAGAAGACGGGCTTGCTCTGAATAGTTTCCTCAGAAGCTGGCTAATGCCCCCTGTCGGCCGGCAGCAATTCAGGCTCTGCATCAAAGATACAAGGTATTGTTATAGAAAAACTTGGACTGTGTATGACAATCACAGAAGGCAGCAGCAAGTAACAGGTGCAAACTTGCAGGTAACCAGCTGAATGACTGTGACTGCATTTACATCATCCAGGACATCACACCGAAGAGGATTGAAAGGAAATCAAGGCACAATCAGGACCAACAATCACACGGACGGATTCGCTGCGAAATGTTTTCTTCACAACGTCAAGCCCAGCGGGTTACTTCGTCAGATTAAAATCGAACAAGCAAGCCCGAACAGATATTCAGAGCAGACACTGGGCTCGAGGGCCAGGGCTGGCGGCAGATTCACCGACGTGTGGCGGGCGGCTATTCCATCCACAGTCCGCAATCGACGAGCGTTAACCCCTGCCCCGGGAGATCTAACCCGAGACGCGGGATTGGTAAGAGAGGGTAGGAGCACAGGGGGACCCGGACCGTATCGCCGGCGCGCAGCCCCGCGACGACCGGAGCAGACGAGCAGATCGGAATGTTGCTGAAAGGGGGAGGGAGCGGGTAGATAGGCG